ATTACTATTTTTATTTAACAAATTATAATTGTTTATTTGTATTTTATTCATAAGAAAACTACAGAATATATTATAATTTTAACAAAAATTTTAATTAAATCGTCAAATTTAGTTAAATAAATAAAATTAAAAAAGCATTACTAGTAATAACTAGTAACTTTTAGTAACTTTTACGGAAATTTCATGGAATTACGGCTCCATGGGACACAAGGAGATAAAACACACGTAACGTTACGGACGCAATCCCTAGTAACTTTTGCGGACTTTCGGTGCGGATTACGGATTACGGGTTCTATGTGACGCCGGCCTAAGACCAAACGCTCCCTCCTGTTTCTTTTTACTCAATGCTTGGGATTTTGCACCAACGTGACATCTTGTGTGACATGCCTTAACTATGACATCTTGATCACGAATTTTTTAATAGAATACAATGGTCGTGAAATCACCTTATATTCTTACACCGTGGTAGCAGTTAATGATTGTTCGTTTTCTCATTTTATATTGGTTTCAAGACACTGGGTGCGGTCGAGTTACTGCTACAAATGCTTTGAAGCGTTTCGACTGCGGTCAATTTAGCACTTCGAAACATTTCAATGATATAAATGACGTCACTGAAACGTCATAAATATTCTCTACCATTCCGCTTCCAATGCTGTAGCCGGAGAGGTAGTACGGCTGAAGCGTTTTTTGAATTTTCGTAAATTGCGGGAAATTGTGTCGACTGTCGACTGAACAACATACATGTGTAACGTGGTTCTACGTGCTCATCTGAAGATTCTGTGTATAATAAAAAACGTTGAGCTACATTATTGTTAAAAATGCCAAATATTACGCTATTTGATGAAAGAAATCAAAGTATATGTTCAACATAATTTTCAATATTCTTAATACGGTTTTCATTTGTGATATTTTGAGAGGTTATTATTATGTCAATTTCCTCATTATCACAAAGATAAGAATATATATCTAAATAATTCTTTACAATACATATTGCAGCTATATCTTTATTCATTTTTAAAAAATTTTTAAACTTCGTTATGTTTCATATGTTAATTTATATTTTTTTTTAATTTTACACTTCAAACGCTTCAGACACTTTCAGACCGGTCAATTTTACCAACGTTGAGAACATCTGTAGCGCTACTTGACCATTCCATGAAAGCGTTGAAAACGAAAGCGTTCGAAGCATTCAGAAGCGGCAACTCGACCGCACCCAATGTTATATATTATTCATATAAATTTTCATAGATCTCTTAATTATGGTGAAAATTGTCTTCACTGAGATGGAATTTCTCAGAGAATGTTTTCAGTTCGGGCTTTACAATACTTATAATCATCGCTAGCCAATCAAAAACGTTGCAAAGAACACAGACGTTTCCCGGCAATCTAGCTCTCTCTTTTGCCTAGTGGAAGCAGTCCAACCAGCCTCTCTCCTTCAAGGCACTGTCCATTATGTTATATAGTTCAATAAGTAAAAATTACAAGTAAGCAAATTTACTAGGTTGTTGACCAATAAGATTATTAATGCTTTAGTAAATTTGCTCACTTTCGTAATTTTCACTATATTGATACGCAATCGATCCCCAGAACGATCGATGTAAACTAAACCAATGCACATACCTTAATGGAAATCGACTACGTATTGTTTAGATGATGTTGGTTGATGTGTTCATTAACCGTGAAGATTGACTTTTCCTTCGCTTTTCTTGTATAATATTGTTTTACTTGGTTTTACCGAGTATATTCAATTCACACGTTGTTGTTTGCAACTACAATAAGTATGGACATTGATATAAAAACATATTTGCTTAAAATATTAATAAACGATAATTTTTTATTTTAGGTTATGGGTAGACATTGCTGTGTTTCAGGCTGTAATACAGCAGTACATTTACCTTCTCATATGTTTCCCAAAGATGTAAACATGATGAATAAATGGAGAAAGGCCGTTTATTCAAAGAACATTAAAGACTTAAGTGATGAAGAATTGAGAAAGTATGTTGTATGTTATAAACATTTTGCAGATAATGATTACGAAGCAATATACAAGCTACGAAGATTAAAGCCTGGTGTTGTACCATCATTATATTTAAATAATGATGATGACATTAAAGAGGCAAATAACAGTATCAACAACAGTGAAGTAAATAATAGTAACAATGACAATACAGCAAATAAGGGTAACAACAAAAGTGATACAAATAATGATAACAATAACATCAAAGCAAATGTAACTGTACGAAAATTTGAAATCAAAACAATTAATACAAAGTTAACTAACCCTATTGAAGAAATTGAAATAATAGAAATAATTGAAGATGCACAGTCTTCAAAAGAATCAAAAAGTGCTAAAGTTTTAGAAACAATTAACAGTCTAAAAACTAAAGCAAGTAGCACTTTAACAGTTAGCATTCCAGTATCTACGATTCCTGCAGCTAACACTTTAGTAACCAAAATTCAAACAGCTAGCAGTCCAGTGTTTAAGACTGTTTTAGCTAATACATCAATAATTAGGACTTCAGCAGCTAGCATTCCAGTAACTAAGATTCCAGCAACAAAGATTTCAGTAGCTAGTACTTCAGCAGCTAGTACTACAGCAATTAAGGTTTCAAAAGCTAGTTCTTCAACATCTAGCTTTCCAGTAACTCAGATTACAATCGCTAGCACTTCGGCAAGTAGGAGACCAATAGCTAATTCTACTACAGCTAGTACTCCAATAACTTCATTTCTAACAACTAGTGCTAGTACTCCAATAACTAGCTCTTCAGTAATGAGTAGTCCAATAGTTAACACTTCAATTAACGAAACTTGTTCACAATTAAAAGAAAAAAATTTAACGTGCAATTTGTTGGACACACATACTGCACTAGAAGAAAAACACTTTCACAAATTTACACCAAAAATGTGGAAGATATATAAATTGTCATGTATATTAAGGAAGAAACAAGAAGCTGTTGTGAAAAGGCAGTTATCATTTCGTGAGCGTATTAGACAAGCCAAGCAATACAGCAAAAATCCTGCAGTAGAAGAATTATTGTCTTCATTAACACCTGTTCAGCGAACATTTCTCGAAATGCAAATAAAAACAAATTATGCGCCTAAGGTATGATAACAAAAAATTGTATCTATTATATTAAATTGAAGAATCAAATTATAAGAATAAGAGAAAAGCTATGTAAAACTCGAGCTAGATCTAGTTGCTCAATGTCACTATATTCTTATATAAATAACATTACATACGTTTCGGCACATTTGTTTTGGCCATCATCAGTGTACATAAATTAGAAAAACAAATCGATAATAACGTAAACGCAAGAACTCAAGGTTGTCTCCAAACGGCTAAGGTATTAAAACTTTAAAATATACAATGTAATCTTACTTGTGATATGTCAAATCATTCTCTCAAGTTAAAAAAGACGAAATAAAATGTATGTAATGTTATTTATGTAAGAATATAGTGATATTGAGCAACTAGATCTAGCTCAGGTTTTACATAGCTTTTTTCTTATTCTTATAATTTGATTATTTAAAAATAAGCTCACTAAGATTTGTATATGTATTAGTATTAAATTGAAGACTTGTTAAAATAGTCTACTTTCGTTTTTAGGACAAACATTTCACATTAGATGAAAAAATTGCAGCTCTGTCTATCATGAAACAATCCAGTAAATGTTATCAACATCTAACACAAGTTTTCAATTTGCCCGATATAAGCACATTACGATCTATACTTCAAAAAGTCAACATTCATCCAGGACCAATTAATTTTATAAATCAACGTTTGAAAGAACAAGTGAGATTTATGAAAGAGAGAGATAAAGTGTGTCTTTTAATGTGGGACAAAATGCTATTGCAACCTCATTTGGATTATGATGCCACAAAGAAGCATATTCTTGGTTTTGAAGACTTTGGACGAAAGAGAAGTGCCCGATTCGCCGATCATGTATTGGTCTTTATGGTGCGTGGGATACAGAGTGGATGGAAACTCCCATTAGCATATTATTTTTGTGATGGTGCCACCAAAACTGATCAACTCATAAAATGGATTAAAGATATTGCCAAAATTATAATTGGCAGTGGATTATATTTAGTAGCTTTTACGTGCAATGACGGAAAAAGAAATCTTGCGGCTATAAATAAAATGAAATTGGAATCGGCAAGACTCAAAGCTAAACGAGGGCAATTATATTGTAAGTGTATTTTATCAAATTTTTTGTCAAACAATTATTGTTTGTATAAAGATTATAATATGCTCATGTTCTAATCATTTATTAAACATCTAACAATTTGTTAAATATTCCGTATCTTTTTACAGATGGTTATATAACAATAAAGAATCGAGATATTATACCAATATATGATCCACCACATCTCATCAGAAGTATACGCGACAATCTAGTAAACAACGATCTTGAGTTTGATTGTGCAGAGGAAGAAGAACGAAAATTTGCATCATGGGCGATCATTGAACGAGCCTATCTAATGGACCTGAATGACCAAGTATACAGATTAATGCCGAAGATTACTGCAGAACATATAACAAAAAATAAACTAAAGAGGAAGAAAGTTAAAAACGCTGTGCAGGTTTTGAGTAGAACAATGGGCGCCTTTATACATCATCATACTAAGTTGCGAGGTATATATATATATATATATAAATATAACAATAAAAACTTACACTTTATTAAATAGTTTTTACTAATTATTAATATTTTTTTCAGGACATATAGATACGCTGTATGGAACATTTAAAATGCCGGAGAAAGAAGGACAGGATACGGCAGAAATAATACTTTTCTTTGATGAATTGTTTGATTCTGTAAATGGATACGCATTGAAATCGGAAAAACCGTTGAACGCTGCTATTTCGTACAACAGTCCACATTTTCCATTTTGGGAGAGAGCGATAAAGAGATTACAGAAAATGCGATTTGTTGACTTAAAAGATAAACCATTGAAGAATTCAACAACTCTTAAGAATTGGATCATCACTATACGAGGATTCCGCAAGTTATGGATGATTATGAAAACATTTGAATTCAAGTGCTTGAAACCACGAATGTTAAATCAGGATTGCTTACGACATTTCTTCGGTCAGATACGATCTTTTGGCGTGAAAAATGTCAATCCCACATGCGCGGAATTCGAGAATTCCTTTAAAACGTTGCTGATCAACAATTTGACATCACCTCGTCCTGTCGAAAATAACGAGCATAAGATAGACGGATCGTTGTTGTTTACATTAAAAGGATTTATCGGTAAAACAAAAAGCAACTGCAACTTCAAATTGATAGAAAATCTGCAGTTATTAGAGTTGGAAATAGAAACAAATCCCTTGAATGAAACATCCGATCACTTGAATATTTGCAATTCCATCGTGATGAAAATTTTAAATAATTCACGCATTAAAGGGTGTAATTTTTGCAAAAATATTCTCACAGATACCATAAAACGCAGCGAAAGAATCGAAATAACTCCCAGTCACAAACTATTACACGAATTTGAAAAGGCTGATAATATACTGACGCAAGTAATGAGCAACGTTTGTTATTTACATCATACGGCATTAATGTTGGAAACCGAACTATATACGCATATAGATTTACAATGGTTAAATTGTCAACAGCACAAGATTCCACTCAAAGAACTATTGATATCCTACATGGTTGTTTTCTACATATATAAGTGGTGTGTTGGTATAAATAACATTTTATTAGTGAAAGATCAGAATGATTAGTAGCGAAATACTAAGTAAAAACGTGCCTAATATATGTTTAATTGATAGTTAAATTTAAGTAAAAATGCATTTTAATAATAAAACTATTTTTTTAAAACTGTTTTTAATATATTTTATATTGCATGTTACAGTATATTTTAATTACAAATAAGATAACTTCCTATAAAAATCTATATATATATTGCTTGAATTTTCCTTTATAACTTATTTAAATTTATATTCAAACTGCTAACATAACAAAAACAAAACAAAAACCCTAAGTGATTCGAACAATTTAAGATTTAAACAAACATTTGAATTGATTATTAAACAATTCTGCGATTTCTAATTTAAATTCAAATTTTAATTTTAAAAAACCTACGAATATTGCTATCTTAATTTTTTAGTTTACATAAAATTATCAACTTCAAGCCGGATTACTTCATCAATCAGATGTTAGTGTTTCTAGGGTAAAATCTAATGTTGCAATACGTTTCTTGTGAACGCGTTTTAAGTCCTAGTAATGCTTCATGGAGTCGCGTGACTCGTGCTGTCGGGCAGTATTGGCGAGTGTGGCGAGCGAAATTGTGTTGAAAGCTTGTCTGTGAAACATGGCAGCGGTGATCTCGGAGTTTCGCTCGCGTGACGGTCGCCCGTGATTTTTTTAACGCCGATGAAATGACAATATGAACGGTAGGCCAGCCCCGCTGAGGAGGTCGGGCCCGATACCGCGACAACAGGGAGCAAAGACGCAGCGGAGATCGCCACGAACAAGTTTATCGCAGGTAAAGGGAGCCGCTTTTATGGTGTTTTCTGCGTGTTCTCGCACACCGACGGAATGCGTGGATTTTTGACAATTTTGCTCGCGTCGCGACGATTCAACAGGATCCGATCTCGTGAGGTAGCGACGCGCGCACTTGCGGATTGCAATATTCTTCGAGACGCCGCTAAAACGGAGATGGAATCGCGTTGAAAACATGCGTCGAACGCATAGGCAGATATCTATGACAGGCCGCTGTTGTGTCGAGAGGGGTGAGACGCGATTGATTGTCTGGTTTCCCATAGCGCTTTATTAAAGCGTCACGTCTGAGAATTCATTCGAATTTTACATTCTCATCAGCGGCTCTGGTGCTGCGGAAAGCTTCCGAGGAAACCGTCGCGATAATATCTCGATAGAGAACTTGGGAGAGGGTACGCGCGCGGTTACATTCGCTATTCCGATACGCGTGTATCCCTGTCGCGTGCGCACTCTCTCACGCTGCAAACAACGGTTCTCGCGTCTCACATTCCCCTCGAGTATGGAATTAGCGTGCATAATCTCGCGTAAAGGATACGCGGTATTGTGACAAGAATATGAGATTGCAGAGATTCGCCCTATCGGTGTATTGCATTTTTATGCGGGTGTGTGTATGTGTGTGTGACCTTGAATTTGACTGCTACTGGTCTATGCATATATGGTGCAATTCTTTATCGTATTTTACTTTAGAATTATTTGGATGCACGACTTGCTTAAATGGCTAATGTTTGAAATTGAGCCAAACTTTATAATTACACGGCTATTTTTATCAAAACAATGCGGCCGATTTTTAATGATGTTTTTACTTAGAAACGCGTATAAGATTGCTTTACAGGTATTCAAGACTTGTGTAATATTCTATTTTTTTATTATTATGGTGTATGAGAGAATCTAATAGAAGAAAACACGTATCACGCACACAAATATTTTGCATTCTAATGTGCTGCATTTTATCGATGATAACAGATCATGACAATTTAATGAAAAGCAAGAATAATGGATGGCACACGAGCAGCAGAAGTATTGCCGTTGCTGCAGGAACGTCTGGCGATACTGCCGGGCGGACGAGATCGCAGAGGTGGACCTGTACTTCTGTTTCCCAGCACGCCGAGACGCGAGCGTGCGAAACCCGAGGATTACAGACGCCTCCTGCAATATCTGTTCGCTATCCCAAGCGATGAGGCCAGAGGACTGCGATTTACTGTAATTGTAGATATGCGCGGTACTACATGGGATTCTGTAAAACCTATTTTGAAGGTTACGCCCTTTGTAATATTTACACTTAATTTGTTACTCGTCTCCTTTGTATCAATTATGTGGTTATCGAGAGTGATATTAACATAAAAATATTTGCAGGTGTTACACGAGCATTTTCATCGCACAGTTCATGTCGCTTTTCTTATCAAACCAGAGAACTTTTGGCAGAAACAAAGGACTTCATTAGGCAAACAGAAAAAATATAATTTTGAGGTAAGTTTATTGGAACTTGTAACTATAATTACATTTAAACTATATATTTTGATACAAGTTGATTAATAATCAAGATATATTCATTTCAGATTAATACAATAAGCTTAGAAGCTCTCGTAAAAGTTATAGATCCTTCTCAACTCACTGCAGATTTAGATGGATCCTTACAATACGATCATGCTCAGTGGATTGATACTAGATTAGTTGTAGAAGACTTTACATGGCAGGCAGCTGACCTACTCGACCGCTTGGACGACTTGCAAGAGGATCTTAGTAGAAACGATTTTGCTGACGATGTTGCGGGAGCTAAGCACGGCATCGATTTGCACAATGAGATGAAGAAGAAAATCATGAAAGTGCCAGTGGAGGATATCGAAGTTGTTGGACAACGCCTACTTCAGCGGTTTAATAACAGTTAGTAGAGTTTTTTTTTATTTCTTTTTTTCCGAATAACAAAAATCATAGACTGGCGTAAAAATCTCAATTAGACTACGACACGTCGTAACACGCATAAATGTCACAGGTGCAACAGCGACGGGCGGAGAAGGCGGAAGTATTGACAATGGCGCGGCAAGTTGCGCGGATTCCGATGGACGAGCACTGGCCACTATGGTTATTCAGCATTTGGATTCTGTGCATGCCGCGCAGCAGCATCTCTTACAATTGTGGCACATCAAAAAGATGAAGCTGGACCAGTGCTTTCAGCTGCGATTGTTTGAGCAGGACTGTGAGAAGATGTTCGATTGGATTTGTCACAACCGGGAAGCGTTTCTCGCCAGCTATGTGGAGATTGGTCGCTCGTATCAGCTGGCTAAGAATCTGCAAGAGGAACATAAACATTTCACAATGAGTTCGATGAACGTTTACGTGAATATCAACAAGATCCTCACGATGGCCGGCAGATTGCTGGAGACGCAGCACTATGCGGCCGGACACGTGCGAGCGGTGGCGGGTCGTCTGGATCGCGCCTGGAAGGAATTCGCCGCGGGTCTCGACGAACGTACCGCAGTACTTAGTTTAAGTGTAGTGTTTCACCACAAAGCGGAACAGTACGTCGACAACGTGCCTGGCTGGAGTCAAGCGTGCGAAATTAGCAATCTGCCCAGTGAAATCCCAGTGCTCGAGTCTCACATTCGTCAACATCAGACTCTTTATGAAGCGATGTGTCAGGCATACACAGAGGTAAATTTTGTTTTACTTTTAGCATATACTTCGTCCCTCATCCGTCACGACCGATCTCGCTTTGCCAACGGACAGGATTATTCTTACTATTGTAAATCAAATCAAATTTTATTTAATGTATTTTTTATGTGCACTGTAAAAGTTCGTCTGATATTGTATTTAACAGGTTTACAATGCATATCAAGCATTATTGAGCGGCCTGGGTTCAATGCTGCAAGTATGTCATAATGTGAACGCCCATTCTACAGGGTCGGATACTTTTCGCGTCGATTACGTACGAGAAGTTCAATTTTTAAAGCTTTTAGGCGATGGAATTGGTTACTCGCTTGGTACTTGGGTGCTATTGGAAATGTCTATCCGCAAATTTTCTGCAACGATTAACATTTGATATAATTTCCTTATTATAACCCAGGCGTCTCAGTACTATCGAGCAGTTTTTTTTTCTACCCAAAATTAAACTGATATGAAACTAAAAAAGTTAAAATGGTTATGTTGATCATACATTTAAGTCGACAAACTTGAAATGAATATGAATATTTCTTAAATGGGATTGGGTAAAATTCTTATTTAGGTGCATAGTACGAGTAAGAAGCTTCTTTATCAACTGGATCATCTTGTGCAAGTCTGTAATCAACCGCAAGGAATTGACCATGTCGCCAGAAAACATGTACGTTATTTGGTGTTTACAGGAACAATTACTGTTGTTTTTCTTCTTTGTTTTGCGTTATTAAAATTATTCTTCCTTGTGATTACTTTTCTGTGTTTAATTTTTTTAGAAGATACAAGCTTAATCATTACGATTTCGAAAACATGTTTATAACTACAATTGAGAGAAATATTAAGTGCTCAATTTCCTCAAAACTATTTCTTATTATTAATTTTACGATTCTTCTATTTAAACTGTTCTTTGCATGGGAGATAAAAAGAAGAAGTTCTAAGCGCTGTAATATTTCGCAAAGATTAATGTATAAATGTGCTTATGCTATAATCATATTATATAGTCGACATAAAACTAAGCTGAAAGAATGCTATTTAACAGTATCGGGATGCATGCAGTATTATTTAACCAATTGATGATTGATATATACATTCGTATCAATTTATATCTTAATATCTAATTTATATAGAGTCAAGATGGACACAGTATCGATAGCCATACCGGCACGAGCGGCAATCCAGCTGCTGATTACAGCGAAGGCGCATCCCACGTATTAGCTGTCATTCATCAGATTCTCGGTCATCACAGAGCATTAGAGGCCCGCTGGCACGCCCGCAAAGTCAAGCTGCATCAACGGCTTGCATTAAAGTATGAAAGTAACGAAACCTGCCTGTTAATAATCGCATGGTAACGCGTGTAATTATAATTTTTAGATTATTTCAAGAAGATGTGAAGCAAGTTCTCGATTGGCTGACGAATCACGGCGAAGTCTTTATCAGGAAAAACACAGGCGTAGGTCGCAACCTGCAGAAGGCACGCGTTTATCAAAAAAGCCATGAACACTTTGAAAACGTAGCTCAGGTAACTTTTTATTTTTACATCAATTGCGTACAATTTTTATAAAATTTTTCAACAAATATATTCAACGTATTTTTTTTTTTCCTTTGCAGAATACTTACACAAATGCTACGAAACTTCTGACCGCTGCCGAAGAGCTTGCTCACACGGGAGAATGCGCGCCCGACGAAATATACGCAGTGGCGCAAGAATTGGAGGCGCACGTTAGCAGTTTTGCGGCGAGAGTCGAGCAGCGGCGTCGTAGATTAGATCTGGCAGTAGTATTTTACACTCACGAGAAGGAGGTATTTTTATACATTGATTGTGCTATGTAGAGGTGTTTACATCAAACGCGGCAGCCTACATAATGCGTAGATATATGTATTTTTGAACATGTGTACATGATGCCATTTTTAATATAATTTTGTTGTGCAGCTTACCGGGTGGGTGGACGAGTTGCGTCAAGAGCTGCAACAGGATGAAGTAGCGGAGAATTTAGAGACTGCGGAGAGACTGTTAGAGCAGTGCGCGCAGCACAGATCGTCCTGTCTCGAGGCGTGCGCTTCGACGATAGCGCAGGGCGAGGCCCTGCTGCAGGAGCTTCGCGAGGCGACCGACGCGCCCGACACAACCGGCTCGATATCGGCGGTGGAATCGGCACTGGATAGATTGTCGAATTTGAGACAGGAACTGGAGGATCTGTGGACCACGAAGAAACTGAGATTGGAACTATGCCTGCGGTTGCGCGTCTTCGAACGCGACGCGCTGGAGGCGAGCGGTCAGTTGGAGATGTGGGCGCAAGAATTGCAGGGTCCGCCGCGCGAGGGTTCGCCCGAGCAGTTGCTGCGCGTGCACAACGACGGAGTCGCTCACATGCAGAACACCGCCTTTCAAATCTTGCACCGCGGCCAAGAATTGGCACAGGTCTTGGAGGAGGCGGGGGTCTGCATCATGGCGGACGGTCAGCATAGCGCCGCGGCGCGCGTGCAAGTGCTCCTCGAGTTTCTGAACGAGAGAGAATTGGACGCGGAGGATCTCGCAGAGATGCGACGGGTGCGACTGGAGCAGGCCGCACAGCTGCTACAATTGCAGACGGACGCCTCTCACGTGATCAAGTGGATACGGAACGGCGAGTCGATACTGCTGGCTTCGTTGAGGATACCGGACGACTTCGAGGACGCCGATCAGCTGGGGAAGGAGCACGATCAATTCCAAATCGCGATCACGAACACTCACGCCTCCGCGGTGCAGGTGAAACACAAAGCGGATTCTCTGATAAGCGGCAATCACTACGACCCGAAGAGCATCAGGGAGGTCGCGGAGGATGTTACCAAACGGTGGCAGCAGTTAGTGACTTGTGCGGAAGAGCGACACAAATTGATCACCGCCAGCTTGAACTTTTACAAAACGGTGGACTCGGTGCGCTCGGTGCTCGACAGCTTGGAGCTGCAGTACAACGTGGACGACGACTGGTGCGCCGACGGAGAAAAGGCCGGATCCATACCGGCGTCCATTACGAGGCATCAGGAGCAAAAGGAGGCTTTTCTGAAGGCGTGTACGCTCGTGCGGCGAACCGGCGAGACGTTCTTGAAGTACATCAATCGTAGCCTGCAGTTTTATAGCTATCACGCCAACAGCGCCGGATCCGCGAACAAGGTGAAAAATATTTTGGAAGAGTTGGTCGGTAAGGAGAACAAGGTGCTGGAGTACTGGACGCAACGAAAGAAGCGCTTGGATCAGTGTCATCAGTACGTTCTATTCGAACGCAGCGCGAAACAGGCCCTCGAATGGATCAGGGAAACCGGAGAATTGTATCTAGCGACGCACATCAACGTCGGTAAGAATCGCATCGAGAACGAGCAGCTGCTGCAGGAGCACAACGAGTTCAAGGGCGCGGCGAAGGAAACGAGAGAGCGGGTGAAGCTGTTGATTCAGCTCGCCGACAATCTGGTCGAAAGAGGCCACGCTCACGCCGCGGCGATCAAGCAGGCGGTCGCCGAAGTCGATCAACGATACAAGGACTTTAGCGCGCGAATGGATTGCTACAAGACGCAGATCGAGGGCGATCTCGGCATCCAACCCGACGAGGTGCACAGAGATCTCTCCATCGATCGCAACTCGGATCCGCTGCTGGAGGAGAAAATCAAAGGTAAAGATCTGAAGGAGCTGAACGAGGAGAAGAGACGGTCCGCGCGACGGAAAGAGTTCATTATGGCTGAGCTCTTGCAAACCGAGCGTACGTATGTGAAAGATCTGGAGACTTGTATACGTTGCTTCCTGGAGGAGACGCGAAGTGGCAAGGGAAATATTCCGCCGGGTTTGCACAGTCGGGAATCGGTCATTTTTAGCAATATAGAAGAGATACATCAGTTTCACAGTAACGTGTTTCTACGCGAGCTGGAGAAGTACGAAACCATGCCGGAAGACGTGGGACATTGTTTTGTAGTATGGGTGAGTATTGTACAGTGTGAAGTGAGTATCAAGAGAGCAATTATTACGCAATTATTGTGTAACGGTTGCTTTTTTCCTTCCAGGCACCCAAATTTGATATGTATGTAACTTACTGTAAAAATAAACCCGAGAGCAATCAGCTGTTAGTAATGCACGGCGGAATGTGGTTTGAGGAATTGCAGAGGAAGCATAGAGTAGAACATCCTATCGCTGCATATTTGATCAAACCTGTACAGAGAATTACTAAATATCAGCTGCTACTTAAGGACTTACAGGCACGTAATATGTCTTAAACTTTTAATTTATTCAATTGAAATAAATTTAATTTAAGCTTTCAATTTAAATGTGTAATTTTGGTGAAATTGTTGCTCCTCTTTTTCCAGGCTTGTTGCCAAGAGGGACAGGGCGAAATAAAAGAAGGATTAGAAGTGATGTTAAATGTGCCTAAAAAAGCTAACGATGCCTTACATTTAAGTCTACTGGAAGGTTGCGACGTTAGTATAGATGCGCTCGGTGACGTTGTATTGCAGGATTCGTTCACGGTATGGGACCCAAAACAATTGATCAGGAAGGGAAGAGATCGTCACATATTTCTTTTCGAATTGTATCTCCTTTTTACCAAGGAAGTGAAAGACTCCGCTGGAAAGGTTTGTACACGCAAGGTTTTTGGCATTTGGCTGTGGTGTTAATGAAATTTATCATAGTGATCGTAACGAACGCAACAATCGTCCGTTCAGGTGAAATATGTCTACAAAAATCGCCTGCTGACCTCCGAGCTGGGTGTGACCGAGCATATCGAAGGCGATGAGTGCAAGTTTGCGGTGTGGACGGGACGAGCGCCGACCAGCGACACCCGCGTGGTACTGCGGGCAAATTCGATGGACGCGAAGCAGCTGTGGGTGATGAGATTACGCGAAGTGATACAGGAGACCTTCTTGGGCAAAAATATGCCGAAGAGCCCGGCGAAAAAGAGCTCCAGTCAACGCTCCAGCAGAGATCTGGAAGAGTGCGCGTCATTGGACGAAAGTGTGGAGAATCTCGATAGAAATTCATTGGCTTCCTTCGGCTCGACCAATACCACGGACTCTGATAAGGTAAAGTATGAATTTTTAGGCGTTTTTTTGGTATCAATTTTTTTGCCCTTTATTCTACAAGATAATTGCATTCTTATATTTTCGTTAATCAACCGAAAATGATATTTGATGAAATATTAAATTCACATGGAAAAGGAAATTGCACGATGTTATATTTAATATAGAAGCATGCTTTTTATTTGTCGATATAATAATTTATATTTTGCAATAATATTCTTTTATTTAATATACAAAAAAATTAAGAAATAATTTACGAATTTCTTAAATAGACTACTTCTTCTAACTACAATAGAAATATTATGCATACTGATATTATAAATACTTGGTAAATAATTGTGATCCACAATTAAACTCCTCTTTATTTTGCTATTTTTTATTGTAATTTCCTTACGTGTGAAGATAAATTTGATTTGCCTTCAATGTTCAAAATAAAATCCACGAGACTGATTACCTTAAATTAACCATCTATTGATGCTTCAACGTTTTTCTTTTTAAGGGCCGATTCCAACTTTTCGGTAGACTTCACCTCTCAGCCTAAAATAAATATCAATTAAACTGTTATTACCAAGAGGTAATTTTACTCGGTATTTCAACCACCGAGATTACTGATATTTATTTTTGGCAACTGAGAGGTAGAGTCTACCAGGAGCAACCGGCCCCAAGGGAAGATCGAGTTTTAATTTACCAAACAATCTATTAATTACGAAAAATCCATGAATCCTGAAACGCCTTGTAGAAAGAGCACAAATGCCGAAATCGTGTCTCACCGTCCTTACCTTAAATCCTTTCGGTCTCTTCCAGAATCCAGACTGTAAATATCCTCTTTCGCGGTAGAGCTCATAAAAAATTGGATCCTCCCGCACTCCCGAAACGATCCGCGCCCCGAGCCGTCTCGCTCGAACGCGCTATTGGCGTCCCCGAGCGTGCTGTACGGGTCGCCTGTTCCCTTACGAGTTCGCCCTCTACGGCAGGGATGACACAGAGGGAAGGCCGTGGAGGCCACCGCTTGCGCAGGGTTGGGTGGGGCGCGCACAAGAGTTGGGTTGGGTTAGTTATAATCTCGTCACTCCGCACGGTCGGCAGGCAGGCCGACGATCAGTACGGGCGCGACTCCCGGGTCGGATGGATCCGCTCGGGGATCTGTCGCTGATCGCGATATGCTGAGCGGAATCGAGTAAAAGCCCTGACCTTCTTCCGCGTCGAGGGAGGAAAATTTAATAGGGGCGAATTCGTCGCGATGGCGGATACACCACTGCGCGCCGTCACACGCCCGGGAATGCGCTCCGTGAACAATAAGCCGCTGTCCACGTCGTCGTCGTCGTCGTCGTCGTCGTCGTTTCCGCTCGCTTCCACGCCGCAGCCGCGTACGCGCGTGTGAATTACCGCAGGCTAATACCGATCGCCGCCGAACCTTGTCGCATCGTCGTCATGACGTCACCGGCCGGGAAACCGGCGACGATCGCCCAAAAAGCGCGCAGAAAGATCTCATTGCCGTGGTTCCGCCAGGGCTCTGCGGCACCGCCGCATGCGGCCCTCTCCAGGCAACACACCATCGATACACCGAGCTCGTTCCAGGCCCGACTTCTGCGCCGTCAACCCTCCCTTACCCAGGTACTATCGTGCCCGCGACACCTGTGCCAATCTCGCCCGCGTGAGACGAGCCTATCCTTTGTCAGATGACTTCGTCCTCTCTCCGCGAGTCGTAAGGTCAAACCATTTTTTTTTCTTCCCCCAACGATACTTGTTAGAAAAAGAAAATATCTTTGACTCGAGATTATCGACGTGGAAACTTGTTTTAGGAAAAATTACTGCAACGGATTTATGCGCATTCTCTTGAGACCAAAACGCATATGAGTGAAAGCGTTTGAAGTGGATTCGAGTTTGTAAAACGACGAATGAATCATCTGAAAATTCGCAGGAAGGCGTGTGCAAAAAAATAGAATTCAAGTTTCGTTAAATAAATATATCTTAGAATCGTACGCGATAACGTAATCTTCTTCGCGTTTCTTTATCGCGTCGTCTCCTCTATTTTTTTTTTTTCCTTCTCGCTTCACCTTGGTCGTTTGCGCGGCGCGGCGTATACGTGAGGGAACTTGGCACGTGGAAAATTCTATTTCGGATCGCGCGGAATGCACGAAAATCGAGCGTGCCGTTGGAGGCCGGGGCTGGTTCGCGGCCACCGCGTCGGGCAAAACAATTGCGCGTCTCTCGGCGTCGATGAGGAAGTCGCGGTGTTGGTGTTATAAACGCCGTTGTCGAACGTCCACACACACTCGCAAGATGTGTAAGCGCACACGCACACACATGCGCGCGTGATATTTATAGTAACGTCAAAGTACCACCGTGTGTCGTGACATTAGCTATTTTCAAAACGCCGGAATCCGCGTGTGCGATTTAAAAGCGCCCGTTGAAGAGCGACGGACGCTCGCGAGACCAGTCGGTGACACTGATTCGGACGAGATGAGAATCGCTCGGGCATCAGTAATCGGATCTCTCTGAATCTCGCTCCGCCGATCCGCAAATTCAAAGACACACAATTGGTCTTTCCCGCAGCGCGAGAGGCAGAGGGAGCGAGAGAGAGAGAGAGAGAGAGGTTTTACCCCTCTCGCAGGGAGAGCGCGACAGAGAGGACGATCGTATCGACCCATCTACGCTTGCGTAAGCACGAGAGGGCAGCTCTTCTCTTCCTCTTCGCTTTGCTTCCCTGCTTTCGGTATATCCCACCGAGAGAGAGAGAGCCCTCCTTTTCTCCTCCACCTTGTCCTCCACCGTCGCTTTCACGCACGCGCGCACATAGACACACATCACACACTCCACTAATTATCCGTTTCTATATTCGCTCCTCCTCTCCGATATCTCGCGGATATCTAAAAGTACGTCGACCGTGAATTGCGACCTCCATGCGATTGTATGCGGGATGGCGGCATCTATTGAGGATCTTTGATGCGTACTTTTCAGACCGGAGTGGTCGAGATGACGTGGGTGGTGGCCGATCACATGGCGGCACCGGGCTCGAGGGAGCTGAGCGTGACGAAGGGACAGCAGGTCGAGGTGCTGGAGAACGGCAGCACGAATACCGGCGCCACCGGGGTCCCCAGCACCGGCGAGTGGACCCTGGTGCGTCTGCCGCTCACGCCCGGACAAGCCGAGCCACCCGCGGAGGGTCTGGTGCCCACGAGCGCTCTCAAGCAACCGCCGACCGCCTCCTGCAAAACTTCGCCGTCCAGAAAAGCGTCCACGCAGCAGCAGCAACAGCAATCGCACCAGCATCACCATCATCAGCAGCAGTCGCATCATCATCCGTATCATCCGCAGCAGCAGATCAGTCCGGCGATCGTCCAGGCGCAGACCTCGGTCGCGCCGTCGACCGCCGCCGGCACGTTGCCGCCGATGGCGGCCGGCGTCGCGCCGGCCGCGCAACAGACGGCTTCGTTGACCGCCCTGTCGTCCACCGTGCTGTCGCCGATGTTATCGGAGGACGCAGGTGAATGGCCGAAAGGAAAATGTAGAATGTCGTAGTTTGTCGCCTCGCGATTAGCGTTAACTTTTTTTCCATTCTTTGCCGTGTCACAACGTGTCGTTTCGTGATTGGGCGAGAAAGCGTAGCATTCTGCGTTGTGACACGCAGAATAATATGAAATTCTTTCGGCTGGCGTGTTCCACTAGCGGGACTGCGGGAAGTCGTTAAACCGCAAATTGACCGCGAAATCGCACGGCACGACCCGTGCTCTCGTTTGTTATCAATTCCGATAACCGTTAGAGCATAATATTAGGCGTAGCACGAGTAATGGTATTTTTTTTTTTAATCAACAGAAACCGCCGGAAGCGACGGCAGTGGGTCGACCAGTACAAATTCACCCGGCAACAAGAGGCGAGGTTTCAGCGGGTGAGCGATCTTATGACGGAAATTGTCATTTATATTCTTCTCTTATCTCGAAATGTCATACGTGCAACGATAATCACGCACGACAACGGGCGTTTCTGTTTATAGACGGAAGTGGCTCCCACCGCCTTTACGTAAACTTAGCCAAGGTAAAGTCGAGAAAACCAATACGGCCGTGTCGACGTCATCGACTCCTTTGATTGGACCGTCTTTGAAGAAAAGCAGCTCAGACAAACGCTTTAAATTACCGAGCGGCGTCGAGCACAATCGGCCTGGCAAGACGTTCGAGGCGGAGGCCGAGGCTCAAGAGGGCGAGGAGATAAGTAAGGAGGAGGAGGAGGAGCAGCAGGAGGTCGAGGTGGACGTGGACGTAGACGCGGACGTCACGGAGAGCGACGACACGGCGGTGACGAGTCTGCAGGAGCAGAACGGCGGCGAGGACGCCGATGACGATCTGGAACTCCCACCGCCGATGAAACCGATAACCGAACCGATACTCGTGACGACCGCGAATGGTCCATCGGGATCCACGATACCGAGTGAATTGCCTGGGAAGCGGGTGAATATTCCGAGTTTTGTTTGTTGAGCGCACACAATTGTTTTCCTGCCTCATTCTTATCGCTGTTCCCCTCTTATCGCTTTTCGACGCGTCCTTATCGCACATAAATCTCTTTGTTTCAGTCCGCCGAACGTTCGACAAAGATTCTCGAGAGCGGCGCCACGACGGCCGATCTCTCGGAGATCGAGCAGATTGTGAAGGAGAGAATGGTAAGTTCAACTCTCTGAACGTATATAATATGCACAGATCTGTGCATTGCACAAAGTACTACGCGTATCATTAACAGGAGCAACATACAGAAAATCAGGAAAGGCACAGTCTCATGCGCACTCCTAACGGAAAGTCGTTGAACAACGAGGAAGAGTATTGCAACGTGACGACTAATACGGCCGAGGAGGCAGATCCGGAGAGCACCGCGATCGCCAAGCGGCAGTTTGTTATACGCGAGCTGGTGGAAACCGAGAGAGACTACGTCAATGACTTAAAGCAGATAGTCGAAGGTTACATGGCACTAATGCGAAATCCCGATTGCGAGATTCCGTTGCCGGAAGATTTGCGCGGTGGGAAAGACAAGATGGTTTTCGGTAATTTAGAAGCTATCTACGAATGGCACAGAGAGTGAGTTGTCCGAAATTTGTCTGTCGAGATCTGTTGACGATAATCGTTGAGATTGTTTGTATTCGCCGTATTTCCTTCCACTTTTCAGCTTTTTCCTCAAAGCTTTGGAACGTTGCTTGGAACGTCCCGAAGAACTCGGACCACTCTTCAAGCGCTACGAGCGAAAGTTGCATATGTACGTGGTTTATTGTCAGAATAAGCCCGTTTCGGAATACATTGTGTCCGAATATATGGACACTTACTTCGAGGTAATCGGCAAAATCGATAAGGACGACCACGCGTAAAATAGAAACAATCTAAACATACGTGTACGTGTTGTAGGAACTTCGGCAAAAACTTGGTCATCGTCTGCAACTCTGCGACTTGTTGATCAAGCCCGTACAAAGGATTACAAAATATCAACTTCTTCTACGGGAGGCATTGCGCCTCACTGAACGAACTCAAAGGTTATCGGAAATCGAAGGCCTCAGAGCGGCGGCTCATGTCATGCGAGTTATTCCTAAAGCTGCGAACGATATGATGGACGTTGGGAGATTACAAGGTTTTGACGTGAGTGTTGCTCTTTTTCTCTCCACCGTTCTCGTTAGATTTACGTATGATAAAAACATTCTCGAAAATCTGCTTAATTAATGGGAGCGAAGAACAAAAAGAGTTAATAAACCTCACGTTTTTTTAGGGTAAAATAACGGCGCAAGGGAAACTCTTGCTGCACGGCCCGCTTTTGGTATCGGAAATATCGAACGTGTCGCCGAGAGGAAGAGAATGGCAAGTCTTTCTTTTCGAGCAAAATATTATCTTTAGCGAAGCTGTCGGCAAGAAAACGCAATTCACCAATCCTGCCTACATATATAAAGCACACATTCAGGTAAATTAATTACTTGTTACTGTTTCATCAATTCGGAGAGATAGTGTTGCATTATCGCATAAATGTTCAATTATATACGCAGGTAAACAAAATGAGTCTTGAAGATTCGAACGACGATCCTGAGAAATTTGTCATTCGGTCAACGGATCCTCGAAAGCCCGGGCTAGGATTCTCTTGTAGTGTAGCCGAAGAAAGTAGTGGACCGCGCAGGCAGGAGTGGGTGGACACGATCACTGCCATCCTGCAAACTCAGCGCGACTTCCTGAAGGCGATACAGTCACCGATTGCCTACCAGAAGGAACTTACCAAAGATCCACTGTAAGCGTCTTTTAACTTAACACACATTGAATCATACACATACAGACACAAACACACTGACTCTCTTTTAATATTCGATCTGTGAATATTCGTTCCGACATATTTTTGTATATTTTATATAAAAAGAGATACAATATCGCCATAAGAGCTAGATAACCGTTAGTCATCTCCTAAAAAAAAAAGCCATCGCCTGCTTTCCTCTGCGCTCTCCAGCCCCGTTTTTCACCCTTTGTCGAAAAATTAAGTGACTACTTTTCACCGTTTGAATGTATCTTAGCGTCTACATTGTTATTAATACCACATACTAAAAAAAGGTGTGCACGTATCCAAGTCCATTTTTCTCACATTCCTTTTTCCGAATTACCTTTACATCTGATGATGAGATATCTTGCTTTCGTAGTACAGAGGAAACGATGACGATTTAATATTCAGCTATAATCCCGCGCAGAAGCTTAAGAATGTGTACAACGCTGTAAACAAAAAAGAAGCTGACACATTCTATCGGCTAATAAGAAATAAAATACGGTTTATACAGAGGAGTATATGCAGGGTGTCTCAAAAGTGCTGCATTATTTTTTAATGACACAATTACTGGACGGGATTTGGAAGTGGTTTCTCCTTAGCGAGGCATGAATGAGCAGCGACAAAAATTAAATTTTCCATGTTAGATATTCGATTAGATATTCTTAAAAAAAATTATCGTTAAGGTAATATTGCTTCCAAACTTTGGTTGAAAGAAACCGTCATTAAAGAACGAATGCGATAGTTTTGGAACATAAAAAAAAAATAAATATATAAATATATATCTTTTCATATTCGATGACGTCTCGAAACGATTAGTAGAATTCAACTATCGCTCTGTATCAAATATATACGGAAGTATATACTTTAGTGTTTTAGAACGCCGCGGACAATGCGAAAGAGAGTTAACAGCTCTTTTTATCGTTTAATGGATCAAAATCTACTCACCTGTTCCTTAACATGTACTACCCCCTTCCCCCCCTCCCCCTCTCTAGACTCGGCTATCTGATCCCTGGAGCCTATAAACGTGTATTAATCCGTTCCAATGCGCATGCATTACGCGTGCATATATCGTATGCATATATATATGTATATATGTATATATATATGTTTGTATATATGTATGTATGTATATATATGCACACGGGGGCGTATTTTTGTTGTCTTACGTGCGTTCACATTTACACACATGCGACTATTAACGATATGAAAACAAGAAGAACGCGCTGCAAGTGCGGATGTATTAATAACGTAATGATATATGAAGATGTGCGATATATTTATAATAATTTTAATAACGTTTACAAGAAACACGCGCGCGCGCTCGCTCGAATCCGTGGACAAACACTGTGGCGTGACAGTATACTGTGTATATATTAATGCGTGACACACTGGAGGACAGCAAAGCTATAATTGACGCGGAATCGTAAGAATTTTGTCTAGAATAAATTGTAAATTGATGATTAACACGTGAGAGTAATTGTGATATGCATCCCCTCATCCTGGTTTTTACTACCTTAATGTACACGCCCGACTAACCAGCTTCTTTTCTTATAATTTCGTCAAGAACACAGTACTGCGGGAAGCAAATCCAACCGCTCCACCCACCTTGCCGCGACGCGTCGCAATCAAGCACCTACTCATCCATTCTTCGACACTTCCAGAAAGATCCAAGTTCCACCGGCGACGTCGACCTCCTCCGCATCCTGGCTTAATGTCGAGACTCGTTCCATCCAGTCGCTTCAAAAAAATTGCAAGCCAAGCAGCCATTCATTTTTGCTTCAAAATTGTTTGACAAGTATTTTTTTTTTTTAAATAAAAAGATGCGTTTTATCATTCAATCGCGGCGAGCGAAGTGCGCGAGTCTCGACGCGTAGTACTGTGTCTTGGATTTTACTTATGATTTGCTGGCGTACAGCCGTGCCACCACGTCTGAACCAGTGACTCGAGCAACCATGTCGGTTCCTCCGACGCTGACAGTCCCCGGATCGGCGAAGGGTAGGAGTCAACCGTTGCAACGCTCGCAGACCGGAGGATTGGATTGCACGCAGCCACGCACGCCCAGCCCGACGAAGAGTAGGCTGCACTTCCTGGAGGGATTTAAGAATACTCTACGGACGCGCTCGCCGGTCCGCAACAACTCCATCCCGGTGAGCCAAACCTGATTAACGTGATCTTTGCCACTTTTAGCTGACGTAATACATAAACGTTGTCGCCCATGTATCAATTAGAATTCTTGATGATTGCAGCAAAGGGGCTCTCCTTCCTCTTCCTCTTGATGCCTGTCGCTATCCGCTGCTATCTATTGCATTATCTTCTGTCGGTGCGACGATAAGTCATACTTCTATTACTAAAGAAACTCCATCGACTGCGAATGATCCCGCGAAATGCGAAACACACACACACACATTGCGTATCTTCTTAACTTGTGTAATGAGAGATCCGGCAGACTCAAAGCAAATATAAAATACGTACACACAGCTGGGAGAAGTGATCTACCTGGGAAATATGAAAGAAAAAAAACTCTGAAACTTCTTATAACAAACTCTTCACTCTACTGAACCGCTCTGTTACCGCTTTTAACACCTTCTTAACTCACCGTATACCGTACATGTGTACTACATGCTGCTGCTTTCTTTTCCTTCGCCATCAAACATTATCGCTAGCACCTCGCCGCAATCGTCGCAATCGAGATACCTCGCCTCCGTAACTATTCGCCGCTGCTATACTACACCGCTATTGCTGTCTGTCAAAATCGGTGTCATTACCGCCGTTAATCTTCTCCTCCACATCCGGGATACATACGATCGCTACTATTATTATTGCCGCTACCATCGTTACTGTCGCTGCATTATGGTGCTGGAGGCTCTCCTTCCTGGCTCGAACTTTCTATTGGATTCTGGGTGGAAACGGAACAAACCGGGGGCATACGCGACGCGCAAGTTGCATGAAAAAATACGTTTAACCAACGTTGTCGAGCGTGTCTGAAAGATTTGACGCGTATTGACGAGAGGCTCCCTTAGGTCGTTCCAGGTGCTCGCGTGAGATTAGCCGCGGATTGGGGAAAGTTGCACGCCGGGGACGAGCTCGTCGTCTCCCATCTGGACGGTCCGGGCTTAGTGGTATCACCGGTGAATACCAAGGACGAAATGTGGATCCCGGCGAGTCTTATCCCGAACTCGGCGATTAGCCGGGCGTGGTCATTTCGGCCGCGGAAGATCGATCTCACGACGAGCCACGCTGCTGATTATCACGAGTCGACGAAACCCGAGGAGAAAGCACTGGCTGTCCTAAGCAGCCCGGCGTCGATTCGTGCGACCACCGGCGAAGTCGTTAGACTTTCCGTCAAGACGCACAACGCGGCCGGCGCAATTGTTACCTGGAGAAAGGAAGGCGAGGATCAGTGTATACGAGAGAGCGATCGGTACCAGTTCCAGCAGAGCGCGGGCTTCGTGTACCTGCAAATCACCAACTGCCGACCGTCGGATTCTGGATTCTACCATTGTCACGTGAAATGCGACACAGGCTCTTGCTCTGCGAGAATTTCTCTTTCCGTCACAGGTATGTGATTGGAGAACTCTGATACAGCATGTATTGTTCAGAGTGTCTCGAAATTCACTGTGATCTTCTCTTGACAACAGATTTTTGCTTAACGAGATTGTCGGAATATTAATATTTGAATTATTAATAATTGAACAGACAAGAGCTTTTGCAAACTGAAGTTTTAGAAATCAAGTGAATACAGAACTATATTTTCCAGTTAATTTTAGCTGAAGTTAATTTGACGCTTGGTTGCAAAAACATTAATGCGGAAAATTGTGATAAATTAGCTCTCTCAATTTTTGTCAAGGAAAAAGATATCCGTTGCTTCGATACATTCTACAAAGTCGTAGAACGACTTGTTAAATATTCGTCGTGTTTCAGGCGGGAAGAGCAGCATTTCGGCGCGCGTTGTAGGATCCTCGAGGGTGGAGATCGATTGGGACAAACGAGAGATCGGTGGTGCGTCATGCAGCATAGAATGCAGAACTTTTCCGTCGTCGCAATGGACGTTGATGCTGACGCAGATTAACGAGCCGCCTACTGTGCTGGATGTATCGCCGGACGCATCGTACAGTTTTCGAGTGATTGGCGACGACGGAAGGATGACCTCACCGTCAATCGTGGTGACGCTGTCGCGATCGGACGCGGACGGTGGCGCGGAATGGGAGGCCAAGCAATTCGTCGGCAGGTACCTGGAGTTGGACGAGCTCGGTAACGGCAGATTCGGCACGGTCCGTCGCGCCAGGGACAAAGGTACCGGTCAGGAAGTGGCGCTCAAACAAATCCCGCGGCACAAACAGTCCAGATCGCTGACGCGCGCAGAGTACGACGTACTGGCCTCCACTCATCACGCCAACATCGTCCGAGCGTTCGCCCTGTTCGAGAACGCGCCTCGACCCGGCGTGGACACCATCGTCCTGGAACTGTAAGCTTCGTGAAAATATAAACTAGAGATGGACATTTTATTCGAACAATTATCTAAATAAACTGTTTAATCGAATAAATTTGGAAGAATGTTATTCGAAAAATCTGTTTTCATCAATTATGAGAAGAAATTATAAATCGTTTTTCTTTGTTGCTTGAATAAGATTTTGTCCATCTCTGCTACAAGTCGGGATAACAAATTCGTTCTAACAAGTATCTTCCTTTTTCTTGCAGGGTTAAAGGTCCGACGTTGTTCACGTATCTGAGCGAGAAGACAGAGTACACTGAAGCGACAGCAACGCGGTACACCGGTCAATTATTGTCCGCGCTAAGCTGGCTGCATTGCCGTAATCAAGCACATCTAGATGTGAAACCGGAGAACGTTCTCGTCGATCAGGATGTGAATCAGGTGAAGCTGATAGATCTGGGAGAAGCGGTAAGGGCTCCCGTGGAGGAGATCGTGCCGCCTCCCGCCGATCTAGAATTTGCGGCACCGGAATCAGTGTTAGGTAGACCGACCGGTTCTTGTACGGATATGTGGGCCGTAGGAGTTTTTATTTATGTTTTATTAAGGTATATTTTTCTCTTAAATGTCTTTTACTTATATATTTTAATCGTTTGACTGCCACAAACTGTTTACGAGTATTGATCTTAAAATTACTAACGCTGTTGCAATCAATCGTCGAAATTTGAGCGTCTAGTTATAAATTGCATTCATCTTTTCATACAGAAATATTGATGAGTTATAAAAAACATTTTTTAAAAATACAAAAAAGCATGAATTGTGTTTATTGATTTTATTAAATTGCAACAAAAATTATTTTTAAAAAACGGAGAGGCGATATAATGGGTTGTTCGAAAAGTTCGTAGAGACTTTCAAAAAGTGGCATTGAAACTCGTGTAAACATGTCACGCTTATGTCACGCATCAAGAGAACACGGATTTCAAAGACACTTCGAGAAGATTGTATTATTATATTTATTTTAAAAGGTGACATTTCAAAACATTTAAAAGAAACAGTTGAACAGATTGAGTAAAAAAGATTTGATGCTTTTCTATGACCGGAAAGGCAAAACTGCTGGATAAACAGTAGAAAAGATACATGCTATTTACAGAAAGAGTATCTGAGAATACTGTTCACAAGTGGTTCACTAAATTTCGAGGTAATTTCAATCTTGAAGACCAAAAAACGAATGGTTCTTCCACCATTAATGATCCAAATCAAGACGTTAATTGAAAGTAATTAGTGCTACAGAGGATGTAGTAAAGATGATTTGAATAGGTATTGCGATCATCTGGACGAATTAAAGACGACAATCGACAAGAAACGTCCAGAATTGGCCAACAAAAAGACCATTGTGTTCCATCATAACAACTCCAGTGTTCACGCATTTTTACAAATTCGGCAAAAATTGTTGCAACTTGGCTGGAATGTTTTACCTCACCTGCCGTATTCAGCTGATCTGGTATCCTCAGATTATTTTTTATTCTGGCACCTGCGCAACAAAAAAATGTTCACCTCCTTGGAGAACTGTCTAAATCATGTTCAGCAATTTTTGTCCGAAAAAGATAGAAAGTTCTAGAAGGATGCAATTATGAACCTGATGAAAAGATGACAAAAAGTCATCGGTACAAACGGCCAATATATTGATTAATTAAAGGTATGTCTAAATATAAAAATATCGAATTTTCCATAAAAATCTCTACAAACATTACGAACAACCCAATATTTTGGCAATCAAACGGTTAATCTTCTAATTTTTTTTTTCTTTTTTTACTTTGATTATTTGTGCTTTAATGCGTCTTAAATGCTTTAGTGGATTGTCACCTTTTTTGGACGACTCTGTGGAGGAAACGACCGCCAACATACTCAAATGTGATTTCTGTTTTCCCGATGAATACTTCGAGACGATATCTAGCGATGCGAAAGAACTTCTCGGGAGATTATTGTGTCTGCGTGGTGAGGATCGACTGAGCGCGGAGATCTGTCTTGGATCGCCGTGGTTAAAGGTATAGCTTCGTATTTTTGGAAATTGATATATTTATAACTTTTAATTTTTTGTGACTCAACGGGACATCGTAGAGTCGTTTATTTCTTCAAACATGTTTTGTTTTATTTATATCATTAAGAATTTACATGAATTTACATGAGACATTTATTGTTATTAGATATCTATCGGCGCTACCATACCGTCCACTAGAATGGCCGCATTTATAGAACGACGTGCGCACTGTCTCAAACTGCGTCAAGACCATGACAGTTTTTATTCTTTAGACTAACAATATGCAGTAAGCATGTTACTTAAAGTACACACATGACAACTTTATATATGTATATAGGAAAATATACTTAATGTCTAACTGTCGATATACTTTTTTAAATTCCGTTGTGTTGATTTACAAAGAAAACATTTCACTTTTCTTTTTCCTCTCGCAAAACGTTTTCCTTTGCGCCTTGTCATTTTTAAAATGTGCTACTATTATCAGTATCGAAAAATGTCATAGTTGAACGGAGTTCAAATTATTGCGCATTCGCAGTAAAATGTCAGTGACGTATCTACTTAGAAACACGGACTAAGGAATAGAGCATTGAGTAAAAAGAAACAGGAGGGAGCATATACTAGCCAGGGGGTCGATTGTGTATCTTTGTCGACTTTCCTCGCCTCTCGTATTTTCATCTCACATGAAAAAATACGCGCGATTGGCTATAAGCGTAGTGAAAATGCGATATCCTTAGGCTCACGAGAGTGAAAATCACAGATGTGAGATGTGAGTGCGAGCAATGGTCGAATGTTTGTATATCATATTGTATTATCATATATAACCAAGTACAATCGGCTGTGTTCCAATATTATTTTTATCATTATAATTCATTATAATTTGAAAATAATGAACGTTACTGAGAAACAAAAAGACTTAATGATCCGTTTCATGCAACAACACCCCGATTTTGGAAGGATAATGTAGATACAAATAAGATATAAAATATAAATATGTCATATGAATTTATATCCATTGTGCGTTACGTTTGATATCTATATATACCAATTTTTTTATTTCTCTAAAATATTTAATATTTATTTTGTTCATAATATTTTTTTATATTGTCTAATTCTAAATCAAAAATAAAATATAATTTATTTGTATCTATATACCTGTACAATTTGAGAAATGTATTATCCGAGATATCAAATGGATCCTGTGTATCCCTCAATCTTCTCCTTATTATATTTAAATTTCTTTGCTGCCTTTTATTCCTATCTCTCTCATTTTCTTCTATCATCAGCAACATAACCAAATCCTATTTTTTATACGCTGGCTCCGTGAGACTGCACAATACGATGCAAATTCGACACAATTTGACTGAATTCGACATCTAAATACTTGTCGAATAATCTCACGTGAAATAATTCGCATTTTCACTATAGTGAAATTTACACAATCAAGTGAATGTTCACTTTTATTATTTTCACTAGGTTTTGAATACACAATCGACCCCCTGTTGTTATTATACACTAGGTAATGCATTCGTCTAAGTCGAGTTATCAAACATGTTCTGTCAAAGAATTTCTCTTCAAAGTGGACAGAGCAAATACGAGCTGTACTTGGGATAGATGATGAATTTATTCCAAAATATTCTAAACCACAATGTACGAG